GAGGCGAAACCCTCGCACAGCAGTGACGGGCACGGGGACTCGCGGACACGCGGGCGCGCCGCGAGGGGGAGGGAGCAGGCGCGGCCGCCAGGGGCGCCCGGTTTCCGCGAGTCTCCCAGGGGCTGCCGGAGAGGGAAGACACTCGGGCGAGGGACTCGGAGCCGCTGACCTGGCCTTTAGGGCAAATGACCCTCTCGCCCGGTCGTCCGTCGGGGCGCGCCCCTGTGTCCGCGTGTAGAACTTGGACGAGGTCTGGGCACACCCTGCCCCTGGTGCCTACACAGGCCTGTCCTGGGGACTCGGTCAGCAAAAGCCAGTGGACAGTGAGTGTGAGGAAAGCCCTCTCCGTGTCTGAGGACCATTCCAGGAAGCCATGCTGGACTGCAGTCGGCCCAAGAAAAGCTACAAAACCAGATTTTCTTGGCGTGATTTCCCTAAGGCAACTTTTAATCTGATTATTTAAAAAGATTTATTTATTTACTCACACAGAACTGGGGTACAGGCCAGAGATGCGGAGGCTGAGAGGCTTCCCCAGAGACAGAGCGGGGAGCAGAACAGGCAGATCGACGAAGTCCACTGCTGAGGGGGGCAGCGGGCGGGTCAGGAGAGGTCTGCCGTGCCCTGGGGTCACCTCCGGGGCAGGCAGGGATCGAACTCATGCGGAGGCGGCCTCAGCTTCTCAGTGCTGTGCGTTACCCGGCTGGGCCACCAGGGAGGGCCTTTAGTCTGGTTTTTACATGTCTTGAATTTCCGATTTCCACTCCAGTAGACCATAGCGGGAATCAGAAAACGCAACTTTCAGAAATGCACAGCAGCCCCTGGATGGGAGCCTGAGCGCAAACGCTGTGCCAGGCGCATTGCCACCCTGATCTCCGTGGGGGAAAGACCTGTGCTCAGTGTTGGGAGGGAAGCGCCAGCCGGCTGCCAGAGAACCGCGTGGATCTGAGGCTTCCTTGGCTGGGTACAGCGCGCACGAATACCTCAGGCCCGGTGAAAGAAAGCGAGTGCGGACACGCGTGGTGTCGAGGGTGTGGGCGATCGTCACTAAGTGTCCGGATCGTCCGAGGGCCGCGCGCCGGAAGTCGTCAGTGTGGCCCACAGGGCGCCCACCTTTCCAGACGCTGTTCAGCTTCTCTTTTCATCCAGAACAACAAGGAGAAGGCGCCCCCCACCGCTCCTGCGTTGGGGTGAAGAGAGTGGGGCAGAGCCTGCGAAGAATAAGATGCTGCCTAGCAAACTGACACGAGCTTTTGCACTTTGATGCTCATTTCACCTTGGGTGGCGACAGAGTGGCCAGCACCAGCAGGCAGAGCAGTGGCAGGCCCGGGCACCCGGCACACGCCGCCCGCACACACCGGCAGAGAGCGCTCCCGCCTGTGCGGTGAGTCTCCTTGGCGTCTGTGTCAGCGGCTGCCCGGCCAGGTCAGCTGGACGCGCTGGCAGAAACATCCCGTGAGGAGGAAACTGCGACGCCGAGCCGCTGCTCTCTCAGCTCCCCGTCACACTCAGCGCCCTAATGAACGGGCCACTTTTTACAGATGAAGGTCGGCCCCGGGCCTCACGTACTTATTTTAGTGGGAATGAACTTCAGGGTCACCGAACGCCGGCCTCAGTTTCCTCGGCCAGTAAAAGGAAGCAGAGTTTGAGGAGAAGGAAAGCGGCTTTATTTGTCGACAAATGCGGAGGGCAGCGGACGCACGTCGGCAAGCGGCTGCTGTGTCTTCTAGTCGCCTCGGAACCGCCCGGAAGGCAGTCTCCGTTGGAGAGGCTGCGCCTAGGGGCTTCTGGCTTTCTTTGCCACGTCACTCACCCTTCCTTGAGTAGCAGAAAACATTCTGGATTAAACGTAAACAATTTATCACTTAAAATGTTGCTTTCCCCATGGGGTCCTGTTAAGCCGCCGTTGTTTATTCTCATCAGAGGGGCCGCGAGTCACCGCGGGAAGAACCAGTCACCAGCGCAGAAGTGACGGGGAAGAGGAAGGTCGCTGGCTGCTGCCCAACTGGCTCTGTGCTGCCCACACAGCGCGGACCCTTGATTAGCATTTTCTCCTGAAAATGTCTGAGCTACACCCGACTCTTCTCAGCGATGCCATGGACTTGCTCACAGTCAACGGCTGGGGAATCGCAGCGAGACCCCCGGAGGGGCGCTGAGCCCCGACGGTGAGATCCCACTGAACCCCACTCTCCTCAGAGTAAACACCTGCGCTTGCCAGGAGCCGCAGGCCCGGGCGCCCCACCTCTGTCCGGGCGTGGGCGCCCCCCGGCCTGCGCTCTCCCTTCTTCGCGTGTGGACCTGGAGGCTCGCTTCCGGCCGGCCGGGCGGCGACGCGGGCTCTGAGACGAGGCGCACAGCCGGCCCT